TGGAAGCATCGACTGTATGCATTGGGAGTGGAAGAATTGCCCCACGGCTTGGAAAGGAATGTATTCACGAGGAACCGAAAAACCGACAATTGTATTGGAGGCGGTAGCTTCTTATGACCTATGGATATGGCACGCATTTTTTGGAGCTCCAGGTACTATGAACGATCTTAATATTCTTGATAGATCCCCTGTTTTTGATGATATTATTAACGGAATCGCGCCAGAAGTTAACTTCTATGTGAACGGAAGGGAGTACAATTTGGCTTATTATCTCACAGATGGTATATATCCAAAATGGGCGACTTTCATTCAATCTATCCGACTACCACAAGGTGAGAAACCTTCATTATTTGCTAAAACCCAAGAATCTGTTCGAAAAGATGTTGAGCGTGCATTTGGTGTCCTGCAAGCTAGATTTGCCGTTGTGAAAAATCCATCTAAGTTATGGGATAAAGAAAAAATATCAAATATCATGAGAGCATGCATCATACTCCATAATATGATTGTCGAAGATGAACGATCTTCGTACACTCAGTATGACGTTTTTGAATTTCAAGAAGGCGAAGATGTGGGTATGTTTTCCGTCACTATGCCTTCAAATCTCGGAAATACAATTGATCGTCGAACCAGCGTTCGGAATAGACAAGCCCATGAACAATTAAAAAACGATTTGATTGAATATATATGGGATAAATTTGCACATCTTCCAAATAACATATGATTTTTAAGTTTCTATGATTTCAATAAAATGTGTGTTTGCTTTTATTTATGAAGTTTGTATGTTTTTTTAAAGTATGGAATGTAATATAATGTTTTGTAATTTTCTATTAAATGAATAAATTTGTTTAAAAAAATAATTATAATCTAAGAACCAAGCAAATGTCCCACCAATAATCTTCATTTTTAGTGAAGTCTCTTAACAATGTCTCTTAAGTTAAAAATAACAATAAACAATCCTAAGAACCTTAGGAAAAGTCTCATTGATAATGTTGGTCTTAAGACTTCAATCTCCTCTAAAGGTTCTTGCTTCTCAACCAAAATTACCGGTGTCCTTCTCTTATACAACCAGGAAAACAGAGAAGTTTAGTCATCTCATTCTTATCACTTCATATAAATAAAAAAATTTCAAGAGCGCAAGATGTCGATTGTCTCAGCCAATCATAAGCACTAGACAATTTCACCTTATGACCTCACATCAAGAGATAAACCAGGAGCCGTAATCTCACAGCCCCAACTCAATGGTTTGAATTACGGTGAATGGGCTATCAACTTCCGTATGGCTCTCAGCTCTTGGCAGAAGTTTGGGTTTCTTAGTTGGAGTATTCCCAAACCAGAAACAGGATCTCCTCACCTCGAAGATTGGGTGGCAAATAATCATCTCCTGGTTGGATGGATTAAACAGACGACTGAGCGTAAGACGTCCACACGGAAAGTTGCCAAGGGTTTGTCGGAGATCATAAAGAAGTGTTTCTCTATCAAAAGTGGAGCTTGCCTTCAACAACTCCATAACTCACTAACAACCTGCAAACAGAATGGATCCACGGTGGAGGCATTTGACAAGGATCTGGGATGGAACTGCAGAGTGTTGGAAACAAAACAGTGTGTATGTGGAAAGTATGAGTGTGACCTCAAGACAACACACAATAAAGAAAGAGAGACCTTGAATATTCATAATTTTCTGTCTGGATTGGTTGATTCAGTCCATAGGGTCATTCGGTGTCAGTTGTGTATCAAACCTTTTCCAGACCTCGATAGTACTCTACCAGACGATACTGCAGAATGAAAAAAATCACTGTGAACGTCTCTCATGATGTCTTGATTATGGGGGTTCACAGCTCAAATATATGGTGCTCGAACCTCTGCTCATGTATTGAGTGAAAACATCTCGCTACAAGGAGGAGAACTTGGAGATTCCTTCCGCAGTGGAACCAGAAACAGGACGTGACATGTGCTGTGTGTGGTAAGAAGAGACATGAAGCAAGATCAGGCTTCAGAATAATTGTCTGTACCGAGTGGTGGCATGAAAAACCTCGAAACCACTATGGTGGTAAAAGCGCTCATTTGACTCCAACATGACGTGGTAGGGGTATGAATCCGAAAGCAAACATCACACAAATTCCTGCTGCAAACTCAGCTGCAATGAGTTCTCATGCAATGATTACAGAAAATAATCGCCTTAGCTTGACTGGTTTAACAGATGAACAATGGATTATTTTTTAGAAGATGATCAATTCCGGAAGTTACCTTGCCGTTTGGGGGTAAGACAAATGATATATTGTGGATTTTAGATACATGTGCAACACATCATACGACTGTATGCATCGAGTTGATTGAGAATGCTCGAAATATTACTCCTCTCTTGGTTCTATTATTAGCCGGGAAAGATGAGTGTGCATCAAAGCAAGGGATAATTTGCCTGACCACGACACTATCACTGAAGAATTTCTGGCTTTAGAAGTCATGATGTGTCTTTTTGGGCTGCACATACCGAAAGAAAGGATGGAGATTGCTTAATTTGGAACAACAACGAGATGGAGAATTTCTGGCTTTAGAAGTCATGATGTATCTTTTTGGGCTGCACATACCGAAAGAAAGGATGGAAATTGCTTAATTTGGAACAACAACGAGTATTTGCATCTCGTGAAGTTATATTGCAATAGAAAATATTTCCATTTGCAAGCAATATTCTTCTCCTTACCGAATCAAGAACCTATTTCTGCCCCAGTGATGGCAGAGACAGAAGGCATATTGGATTTTGATATAGTGTGGATTTTAGATTCAGGTGCAACACATCATTTGATTGGATGCATTGAGTTGTTTTAGGATGCTTGAGATATTACTCCTCTTTATTCTATTACCAGCCGAAAGGTTGTGTGCATCATAGCAAGGGAGAGGGACAGTGCGCCTTACCACGACTTATGGATTTTTGTTTGTCAAATATGGACTAATCCACTTATCAATAACTGACGTGCTCATGCATGGGGATAAAAATTTATAAAATAATCAAATTCTAACTAGTGAACATGTTATTTCCACATTTTGATAAATTTTAAATCATTTTATAATCTATATTATCAAAAGTAAATATACTATTATGTTTAAATAAAATTATGATGTTATATAAATTAAATATGTGATTTCAGGTATAACAATTTAGATCTGTTCATTTTTTTCTTATTCCGGTATATTAGTTATATGTATTTTTCAACTAAATCATAATTTATTCTGATTTTAAATATAATATGTATTTTAAATATAATATAATCATTGTTCATTTTCATCCTATAAATTTATAAAAATATTTTATAATAATTTTATAATTTTTATGTTGTTTTTTAAAAAGTAGAAAAATAAAACAAAGTGTTAATTTAATTAGAGTTGCACTAAACAAAATAATCAGTGATATTCTAAAAAGTCTTAGACATATTTATAAATTTATAAAACAAAATCATAAGAAATAATTAATGTTTCGTTTTCACTGGTTTATACAAACTAAGATGGTTTATATTTATATATATATGAACATTAAATAGAATTATTAAATTGTATTGTTAACTTAGTTGACATATAATTTAGTCTTTTAGGTCTAAGAATCCATATCAATTTGATTTACTTTAAAACATATTTAATTGAAATAATTCAACTAAATTGAACTAACTGTTTTTTGGTTCTAATTATGCTAAAATGTGAATAACATTTTTATTTTCATTTAGTTTGGTTATTCATCTTACATTTTTAATTATTTGATAAAACTCTACAGAATTTGAGATATGTTGTCAAAAACGAACATTAGATCAAAAAAATAAAGAAATTATCAATATTGATTCTTCCACATTATAATTAAATAGTTAGTAGCATTTATTTTGAAAATAAAATATTAAATATATTTAATCCATAAATATTTTATTACTAAAACTATCCTAATTATTAAAAATGTATATAGAAAATATAATTGATTATATACAGATATATATAATAAATTTTGAAAATATTTTAAAAAGTAATCAACTAATACTTATTAATCGAGTATAGATGTATTACTGACTTTTGAAAAACATTAATGTAATAATGGTTCATAAAAAAAAAACCCTTCCAAATAGCTTTAGAAAATATATAGATATTTCCCTTTTTGTTATTTTTAGAAAATAAAATTATTGATAGAAATCATAATAGATATCTTCATAATGGGAATTACACAATAAATTAAATTAGTTAAAGCTATCAATACAATTAACCATAATAAGAATAAACATTAGTACGACACGTAAAGAAAATGATTTCTAAAATAACATTATAAAGATTGGTTTTAGGTTAAACTTAACAGTGATAACATTACTTTTTAAGATTGTCCACTATTATTAGTTAGTGACTTTTCTCTTCTTCTTTTATATAAAGTCAATGGCGATCCTGAGTATAAGCGGAGAAAGTTACAGGCTTACAGCTTCCAACCTTCATATTTTATATAGAATATTGGCCAATATTTGCTAAAAACTATTGTTAGTCTAGTGATAGAATCTTTTCTAAAATAGATGACAACTCACTGGTTTGATGATCTGTCACTTTTTAATTTTGTATTTTCTTAAATCATTCACTTGACTGCCCAAAATTTTTGAGTCGCTTGTGGTCTTTATAAAGGATGATCTAATGCTTATAGTTAATCAATTCATGTTTGAAGGCATGTTACCTACTGATTTTATTTATACCAACATATGTCTCATTCCGAAAGTAGATAAACTAAATCAGATGAGTCAGCTACGTCCCATCAGTTTATATAACGTTAAAAAAGGTTTTACCAGATCAGATTTCAGAAACCCAGTCAGCTTTTGTTGTTGGGAGACAGATATCTGACAACATTATGATTGTTCAGGAGATGTTCCATGCTCTAAGAACCAAACCGAATGGACGCAACAAGTGGATGAAAACCACATACATAAGGACTACACAACATCATATCAACAGATAAGTATGCTCTCACCACAAACCCCTAGAAACAAAAGACGATGTATCATGGGTAAGTGTTTCTCACCTCAAATTAAACTCATTACATAAAACATCCTTATTAGAGAACAAATGTTAAAAATGTCTTTCAATCAATAGGTCTGGATTTAATCAAAGACCAAGTACAAGACACACCCATGCTGAGTAGTTGTTTAACCTCAGTAACAAGTAATATTTTTATACAGAGCATGTAAATTTCTTCATAACAGTTCATTTTTAATTCTAATAGACCAACCTTCTTATTGGTTTTATTGTTAGAGGATTTACATAAGAAGAGCTTCAAATCTGTTAAATCTAAGCCTAAAGGTCAACTCAGAAAGCCACGTTCAGTACTTAAAGACATTACTAATATAGCTCATTTGCGTCAAATAAATTCACATTCACCATCAAAAAGTGAAGTGGATGGATCAACTCATAGCATAGACGAAGATGATGAGATTGTTGGAAATGATTTGTTTGGAGGTACCGTATCTAAGTTTCTTTCTTTTTATAATTTAGAAGTTTATACACTTATGCAGCTATATGTAAATACATTCACAGGGATTATTCATACAGATCATCAACAAGTTTTTGACTGTAGTTCTCCAGAGAACAGTGACACAGAAAATGATGAATCCGAGTTCGATGATTCTATTGATGAAGAAGTAGATGTTCTGCTAAACAATGGCCATAGAAAACAACATGATTTAACGGAGCCTGGTGGAGTTTTAAAACTACGTAAACCATCTAAGATAAATTTCAAAGACACTGGTAAAGCAGCAGATTTTATTTTATCAAGAGTCCACTGGTATATAGTAAGAGCTTGCTTCTAAATTTGTTCATTGTTTTTTTCTTCATGGACTATGCAGATTACTTAGATGAAGGTGATCCTGAATACAAATGTTCTCATTGTGGTGCTATCATGTGGTATGGAGAAAGGCTCAATAAGCGTCGAAATGCAAAGAAACCTACTTTTTCTTTATGTTGTATGCAAGGACAAGTTCAATTGTCTTTATTGAAGGAACCACCAGCAGTTCTAAAGAAACTTTTGGAAGGTGATGATCCACGAAGCAGACATTTCCAGAAACATATAAGACCTTATAATATGGTCTTTTCATTCACTTCTCTCGGTGGAATAGTAGTGAGGGGATTGAAAAAAGGTAGAGGACCTGATATGTTTCAGATAGAGGGGGAAAATTACCACCTAATCGGCAATTTAACTCCACCTGATGGAGGTGAAGCAAAGTTTGGGCAACTATACATAGTTGACACAGAGAATGAAGTAGAAAATAGAGCTAAATGTTTAAAGTATTACATTTAAATCTATCAAACAAGAACTTTGAATTATCTAAACTAATGTGTGTTCTACGTTTAAATTTTTTCAGCTCTGGAAAGGAGAACATTCAAGTCAAGAAAAAAGATAATCTCCGAAAAGATATTATTGACCTTTTGATGAAGATGTTGAATGAAGTCAATCCATATGTCAAACAGTTTAGATCAGCAAGAGATCGCTTCAACACTAATCCTCAAGATTCATTTCACATGAGAATTGTTAGTGATAGGATAAAGGATGGAAGGACATATAACACCCCCACAGCTTCAGAGGTTGCTGCCCTTATTCCTGGAGATTTTAGTCTTGATATGGACAGACGCGATATTGTTCTACAACAAAAGTCAGGCAAACTTCTGAGAATAAATGAGATTCATGCTTCCTATCTAGCACTTCAGTATCCTCTATTGTTTACCTATGGTGAGGATGGATTCAGACTTGGTATCAAGAAAGGATCAACCAAAATTACCAAGAAACACAAGAAACCTAACATAAGTATGCGGCAGTTCTTTGCTTTTCGTCTGCATGAACGTGACAATGAGTCTCATTCTCTGCTTCATTCTAGAAGATTATTTCAGCAGTTTATTGTGGATGCCTTCACAACCATTGAGTCTAATCGCCTAAGGTATCTGAAGACAAATCAACCCTCTTTGCGATCTGACAGTTATGACTCTATTAAAGAGTCTGAGAATGCAGGCATTGTTGATATGAATGAGCAAGGGTCAGAGTTTACGCTACCAGCTTCTTTCGTGGGGAGTCCTAGATATATGAACAACAATTACTTGGATGCTATGACGATTTGTAAGCATTTTGGATTCCCAGATTATTTCATCACTTTTACATGTAATCCAAAATGGCCAGAGATCACTAGATATGTTAAGGCGAGGAAGCTTAAGGCAGAAGATAGATCAGATATTGTCTGTCGGATTTTCAAGATGAAGCTTGATTCATTGATGGATACTTTAACCAAACAGAATATTTTGGGAGAAACAGCTTCATGTAAGTTCAAGCGCTTTGGTTCTATGTTTAGGATCATTTTTTTGTTTGAAACTATGTTAGTTCTAATTTTTTTTTTCTATGACACAGCTATGTACACTGTTGAGTTCCAGAAGCGTGGTTTACCACATGCTCACATTCTCCTGTTCATGAAAAAGACAAAGCCTACTACAACAGATGACATTGACAACATAATTTCTTCAGAGATTCCTAATAAGAAGGAAGAACCTGAACTTTATGAGGTCGTTAAGGACATGATGATTCATGGCCCTTGTGGAGCAGCTAATAAGAATTCACCATGTATATAGAATGGACGTTGCTCTAAATCCTATCCTAAATCATTTGTTGAGAACACCACTATTAATAAAGAAGGATTTCCGGTCTACAGAAGGCGTCAACAGTCGGACAACTTTGTTTTGAAAAATAAAGTCAAATGCGACAATCGTTATGTCATTCCTTATAATCGGACATTATCTCTTCTTTACAGAGCTCACATTAACGTCGAGTGGTGCAACCAATCTGGTTCGATAAAGTACTTATTCAAGTACATTAACAAAGGTCAAGATCGGGTTACAGTTGCCGTTGAACCACCAGACCACATTGTTGCCAATGAGCTAGGAGATGTCAAGATTACTAAACAAAAGTTTGACAAGAAAAGGGATGAACTCAAAGAATTCTTTGACTGCAGGTATCAAATTGTCTAGATTTTAATTACATGAAGAACAACGTTTGTGATATACTATTTAGTTAGTACAGTGCAATTGTATCTAATTATTTTTTTTTTGTTTTTATTTACAGATATGTTTCTACTTGTGAAGGAACTTGGAGAATATTCAGCTTCCCTATTCACTATAGATCAACTGCAGTAGAGAAGCTTAGTTTTCATCTTCCAGGAAAACAAGTTATTACTTACAAAGGAAAAGATAAACTGAAAGCAGTTGTCAGTAGGAAGTTAATTGAGAATACAATGTTTCTAGCTTGGTTTGAGTTGAACAAAATAGATTCCTTTGCAAGAACATTGACATATGCTCAGATTCCAAACTTCTATACTTATGATAAGAGTAAAAAGAAGTGGAATAGGCGGAAGCGAGGTTTTGCTCTATGGAGGATTAATTATGCTCCACGTACCCAGGAAGATGCTTATTTCTTGCGTGTGCTTTTGAACATTGTCCGAGGACCCACCAGTTATGAGGACATCAAAACTTATCAAGATGTTTTGTATCCGAGCTACAAAGAAGCATGTTATGCTCGTGGGTTATTAGATGATGACCAGGAGTACATTGATGATATAATGAGAAGATCTTATGACAGTACAGCAAGTGAGCTACGTAAAGTGTTTGTTATGATGCTTATGAGTAACACATTATCTTCGCCAGAGATAGTTTGGGAGAGTACTTTGGAGGTTATGTCTGAAGATATTGAACACTACAGAAGAAAATATTTCAATAGACCAGGTTAGTAATTAATTTTCTATACAGCAAAATTAAATGTATGAGTATACTTGACTTTTATTTATTTTTAATGCCTGTCTTTTCTGTTTTCCTTTAAGGTCTATTGCTGAGTGATGATGACAAGAAAAGGTTTGCTTTATTAGAGATAGAATCGCTATTGAGGCGCAGTGGTACTTCATTGGAAAGATTTAAAAGTATGCCTAAATTACCAAAGAGAAGTAGTCGTGATTCTAACGTCTTGGTAGTGGACGAACTCAGCTATTGCCGTTCCTCTTTGTTAGAAACTCTTGAAAGAGATATTTCGAAGATGACTTCCGAGCAAAGAGAAATATATGATCAGATTCTTTGAGCTGTTAATAAAGCTGATGGTGGAATGTTTTTTGTGAGTGGTTTTGGTGAAACCGGTAAAACTTTTCTTTGGAAATTACTGTCTGCAGCTATCAGGTCTAGAGGAGATATTGTTCTAAACGTGGCTTCAAGTGGAATTGCGTCTTTGTTGTTGCAAGGTGGTCGGACAGCTCATTCCAGATTTGGTATACCACTTAATCAAGACGAGTTTTCTAGGTGTACTCTGAAGCATGAAACAGACCAATCTAATTTAGTGAAAGCATCATCTCTTATTATCTGGGATGAAGCTCCCATGATGAGCAAACATTGTTTTGAAGCTTTGGATAGAACATTATCTGATATTGTTGGGAAGCATGACACACAACCATTTGGTGGAAAAGTCATTGTTTTTGGAGGTGATTTTAGACAGGTCTTGCCTGTTATAAATGGAGCTGGTAGAGCTGAGATTGTGATGGCGGCACTGAACTCATCCTATCTTTGGAAACACTGCAAAGTTCTTAAGCTCACCAAAAATATGCAATTGGTATCGGGAGGATTGACAGAGGAAGAATCAACAGAACTCAAGGAATTTTCGGTGTGGATATTAAAAGTCGGTTATGGTAAAACTTCAGAGCCTAATGATGGTGTTGCAGAGATTGAAATCCCCTCAGAATTTTTGATTACCGACTTCAATGATCCTATAGAAGCCATCAGCAAAGCTGTGTATGGTGTTTCAACTTCATTACACGAATATAAAGAGGCAAAATTCTTTCAACAGAGAGCGATCCTTTGTCCAACTAACGAGGATGTCCATATAGTTAATGAATATATGTTGGATAAGCTAAAGGGTAAATATATCTTCGTCATATTTATGTTCACAGTACATTATGTTTGATTATTTCTATCCTAATAAATGTTTTAAATTTCAGGTGAGGAAAAAATTTACACCAGTGCTGACAGCATTGATCCCTCTGATACAAGTTCAGTAAACAATGAAGCTCTTAGTCCTGATTTTCTAAACACTATAAAGGTTTCTGGTTTACCGAATCATAGTCTAAGACTAAAGGTTAGTTGTCTTGTTATGGTTCTGCGAAACATAGCGCCTACTGAGGGGTTAATGAATGGAACCAGACTACAAATCACTCAGCTAATGGATTTTATGGTTCAAGCGAGGATACTAACAGGAGAGAGGGTTGGTGAAACAGTTGATATACCTAGGTTGTTGATTACCCCATCAGACACCAGATTGCCTTTCAAAATGCGAAGAAGGCAACTACCTTTGGCTGTCGCTTTTGCAATGACAATCAACAAAAGTCAAGGACAATCACTATCTCAAGTAGGTCTTTATCTACCAAGACCTGTCTTTTCACATGGTCAGCTATATGTAGCTGTTTCTAGAGTCACTTCAAAGAAGGGATTGAAAATTTTGATTTTAGACAAAGATGGGAAGCCTCAGAAAAAAACTATGAATGTAGTTTTCAAAGAAGTTTTTGACAATCTTTAAGGTATGTATTTTTAATTTTTTGATTAGATGATAGTTTATGTTTTCATGTGTTTCTTTATTCAATATTTTAATTTTGATGATGCAGATTTCAAGTAGACTTATGTTCTCTTTGGTGGAATAAGGGTTGCTGGTTGATTCAAAGTTTTCTATTCATTATGCAAACACCATTTGTTGTTTAGCTACAAATAAGAATATCAACAATATTTGATTCGTTTTTTTAATATA